AATACAAGGCGACGACGATGGATCAGGCCTTGTCTATGGCCGCGGCCGGCTTAATTACCACAGAAAATTGTCGTGGATACTGTATTTAATTTTTGGTTTCTTTGAATATTTTATAGGAATGTTTCACTTTAGGTCCCTCAAATTAAGAAATAGCTTATAAGACGAAGTAGATATTCTGACTTTTTTAGACAGAAACAAAAAGCTTGAAGTGAGAAAAAATACAATTTTTTGTAAAATAAGAGACAAAACTTTCCCTTCATATTTATCATTTAGCTTCACCTACATGTGTCAGTATTAAGTATTTTATAATTTGCTCCAATTGATTTGTGATATAGTTTTTTTTAAACTCTGATTTGAGTTTGTCTTTATCTAACAATAAAACTTACCTATATGTTTTTAATATACGCAATTACACGTCTCGTTATATTTCGTACATAATAAAAATAAAAATTATACAGATCGTACTATGAATAGTTCTGACTTATAACAAAAGCCATGAGCAAGCAACGAAGATCAGTAATATCCCAAATATCTTTCAAATATGGGTCCTTAAAATATTATAAAAAATGCGATAATAAAAAAATAGGACGCAGCATAAAGATTTCGAAATTCCAGAGAAGCTATTCACGTGCGATTGGCACGCAAACCGCATCCAATATGAGTCTAAAATCGTGCTGGTTCATCGCTAATGTAGTATGAATAGCTGCATAATGTTTTAATACAGCCAATTTCAGTGATAAAAGATAAGTAATTTTCTTGTTATGTTAATGTTAAAAAACATATCACTCAAAACACTTTTTTTAAATAAAGGGCTACTTGTTTTTAAAGTGGTTTATTTATCCTCAACCCTGCTGAAAATGTTCTAATGAAATTCTTTAAATATTTATAGAACGGCCACCTGGCAGTAAGTACGTTTTCTCTATTTTTGGATATCCAGATGTCATCACGCACAAATCATTCCGGTTTCAATTAAAAATGTAGTAGTGTTATTTTGGTAAATCATTCTTAAAATAGATTGATTCTTTAGTCTTAGCTTTTACAAAATGATTACGAAACGAACATTTCAAAAACATCTAATATGTCATAATTGAGCATACCCACTTCAAGATATATTTAAGTTATATAGTTCATAATTTTAAACCTCGTCTACACATAAAGTTTTACCAGTCCATCTTATCTGTTCAGTCAAAATATATTTTTATTTGTAGAATGTGCAGCCGAAATTTCCCGAATATAATTCGGATCACCCTGTATTACAGCACCTTTAATAAGATTAAAGCGTCATTCAGAACCTCCCAATTAGTGGTTTCAATTATACTTTATACTTTTAAGTTTACAAACATTCAATATGTCTAAAAAACACAATTAAAGTTAATAGAATATCTAGCGGTATCAGTTGTATCTACATAGAACGCCTGATATTTAGCTTCTAAAACAATAAACTTTTCATTTTTAACCAGAATTTCTCTTGATGGGTGATGATCAAAGGCCAAAAAAACATTTTTAAACGACATGCAAAACTGACAGGTAAAACTTTACGTGTAGACGAGGCTTTAAAACGGCTTAAAATAGTATGAATTTAAAAAAAGAAAAAATGGGTATAAGAAAAGCAAAAATACAGACAAAGGAGACTATTTTTGCGTAAAAAAGAATAAAGCGCCCTGAATTAACACTTGAAAAGAATATAAAAACTGAAGCGTACCGTTGTATTTATCACTCTGTTCAGATTAAACAATAAGTGAACAACAAAAGCTTGTTCTTGCCGGCTATTTTTATTTACGTTTCTAAAAACGGCTTTGTCAAATTTTTGTATTTTTTATTAGAACATAAAAGTTCCCAACGAACCGTAAAAATGCCAGCTACAAGACCAGTAATGTAATCAACATTGTTGGGCGTTAAAAATAATTTGCTTTCTATAGTGTAATTATAAATGCCGTTTGCCAGTTTTTTACTTGTAAAATAGTTTTATTACATTTCTTATAAAAGAAGATAAACAGGTTTATGAAGTTTAAAAATTAATGGTGTGAATAAAAACATATTTTATACAGGATGAGTCAAAAGTTTATTATCTCATATTTCGGGAACTGTCGAAATAATGTTTTGTAGCACCGGCGGAGAATGCACCAATCCTATAATTGGTACAATTGATATTTTTACAAAATTATCAAAATAAAGAAACAATCTCCAATGAATAATATAGAGCAAAAAACATACGCCCCAGTTTTGTGGAGGGTTCAGAACCTAGAAATCCTGGTCTCTAAAGTACCAGGGATTTCCGGTTCTTTCGGGACTCGGTAACAATAATTAAAAATAATTCTTTGTTACTGTCTATTAAGACTAAAATGGCCCTTTTTGAGAAAGGATAAGATCGTGAATTATTTATCTAAAGCATGTGACCATCAATTCCCCCAACTATCGACAAAGTTTTTTTTCGGCTGGGTTTACTTTGAAATAAGATTAGGTCTCGTTGGAGTGACAATAGTCTGGACGCACTTTTATTTCTGGAAAAATCTCTTATAAATATATAGTGATGCTATTTCTTATTGTGCTTGCTTCTTTTCTCTTTTTAAGTTCCTATAATGTTTATTACCAATAATTATTGAAGTTTAAATATGTATGTAATTTATTTATTTATTAAAATGTTGTTCAATGTATCAGTTATATTTTATGTTCTGTTTTTATAGACATTTGCATTTTTAATTCAAAAGTGTAAACTTTTTTTCAAATTTAGTTAAGTTGCTTTTGCTTGATGTGAAGTTTTAAATACTTATGTTTTTTTCTCTGCTTGTGTTCATATGTGTTCATATTTTTTTAATTTTCTCTTGACTAATTACTTAATAATTTGATATTATTTTCATTAAAAACATAATTTTTTATCAATTTTACTTTTGAAAACTATCCCTTGCTTGCTGATTGACAAACTGCACCATCATTTGAACAAAAATTAGTACAAAAAGCACCGAGAAAACCGGAAAATCTCGGTTCCTTAGAGGTGTGATACCCATATTCAGGGTTCCAAAAAAACAGCTCCGGTTCCGGAAGCCCTAGTTTTGAGGTTAGGTTAGGATCCCACTAGGGAATGCAATCCCGCAAATGCTGGATCCCTCGGAGATTCCGCGGGATTAAAGCTGCGGGATTTACCGTACGGGATCCGCAGGATCAACACATTACTACTGGGTAACCGAATCGATCTCGATTAAGATCAAACCGTTCGTTCCGGGCCGATGCGTCGACGCTCGAAACCCGGGGGATTCCCCTTACGGGTTGGCCATTAAAAATAAGTGAAACAAACAGGCTAATTTCTTTCTGGCGTATGTGCGTAAGTGAAGAAAAGCGTCTAACTAGTACTTGTGGACAATTTCGTCAAATGAATTGCCGGACATATTTATTGAGACAAGCAAAATTTTTGGGTAAATTTAAAGTTGAATATCTCTTGAACTGAAAAAGATTTTGGGATGCGGTTTGGACCATGTTTTAGATGAATCTATTGTGATTAAGATGCTGATGTGGTTTTCGAAAATATATTTAGCGAATTCTCGTATACAGGGTGTTTTATAAGAGTGTGAAAATTTGATCAAGAATCTTTTTTACCGCAAATTTACAATTTTTAAAAAATCGAAATTTTGCCAAGTACGACGAATCTGTATTGAAATTAGAAAAAAACAATTTGATCGGTTTTTTAAATTTTTTGTTTTAAGGAAAATACGACGTTTTTTTCGAAAAATATGCATTTTTAGTCATACGTATGGCCCTAAATGGTACAAAAAGCTTTGTACATAATGCATATGCCAAAAAATTATTGATATAGAGTGTATCTAAAAGCAGATAACTAACACAAGTTAAAAAAAAATCTTCAATCAGAATAATATTTTTATTTATAAAATAAGTAGATAAATTATAATAAAATTTAAGTTTATTTAATATTAAATATATTTTTTGAACACCCTGTATACATCGGTGTCCAAATTTCTGTACAGCTTTTAAGATACACGCTATATCAATATATTGTAGGCCTATGCAAAATGTACAATGCCTTTTGTACCATTTAGGACTATTGTTTCCAGTCCCGCAATTTTGCGGATCCGCGGGATTGATTGCTTTAATCCCGCGGGTTTGCGGGATTGATATTTTGGTGCGGGATTGCATTCCCTAGATCCCACTGATGCATATCAATCAGCGTTAAAATAAAACAAATCGACAAAACAAAATTCAAAACCGTTTGTTACTAGAACTGGGATGGGCGCCTAAAACTATAAATTGAAAAACAACCAAACTGAATAAAGTCCCAACATATCTACTTAAAATTTATAAAATCGAAACAGTCAATTACTAATTACGGAACGTACTGGAAATTTTTTAAACAATATGATCTGATCCCAAAAACGCTTTGAAACGGATATTATATGGAGAACGTTTAGTTTAGGATATTATATAAATACTGATGACGTAACGGTTACCAATGGTAGTACAGACTATATAAATAAGCAAGACTCAATTCAAAACATTCCTGATCATTCAAATAAGTGTTGATTTACAACCGACATTCCTTGTTCGTCGTTGTTTTTAATGACATCATACTTCGACCTGATCGGAGTGACGAAACGATGCGACGACATAATATGATGCCAGCACAAGTACGCACGTGCTCGATGACGTGCAACGGTTTTTAAATTGTATCACATATATATACATAAAGTAATGGACAAATTTGCCACGAAAAATATGTGAGGTGATAACCATTCTTTCGGTACTTACTAATACAATTTTAGCCGCAATATTATTTGAAACGTCTAACTACGCAGTTTTAAATTCTTGATGCGAACTCAAAAATATCGTATAGAAAATTAAAATAACCCAATTTTTGGCTCTTATTAACACAATCGATATTTCTATTTCGCAAAACATCATTACGTCACTTGTTAAAATGTTAACCACAGATTTATAATGACCAGGTCTGCTGTATGTATAATACTAGCTACTAAGATTTGACTCCAACTTACGTCTCGTTCAGCCTCCTCGATCGCCTTTTTCAGCTTATACTGTTCCAAAATGGCGGCCCTTCTCGCCGCCTGTTCTTCTTTCCTTCGAAGCTTCTCCTCTTCTTTCGCCTTCTCCATCTCCCTCCTCCTCTGAGCTTCAGTTTCTTTCCTGGCTTTCGCTTCTTCCTGCTGCTGTCTCCTCTGCAATGACAGCATCATAATCCTCTCTTTTTTCTTTTCCCTTTCGTCGATTAGATCCTATAAAAAAGTTAACTTAGAACACACTTCTTCCTTTTTATTATGATCTGGTTTCGTATAATCTGTTGCTTAACTTTGCAGTTTTATTGAAAATACATAGGACTTTCAGCGTGTTACAGCAGCACTCAAGATTAGTTTACGGAGTATGAGTAAGAATCTCACAAAAAGTGAAGACTGATATAAACCAGCATAACATTAAGTTTGTTTAGCCTTTTTAATTATATCATTTTGAACTAGCATAATTTAAACAATTTTAAAAATAAAATTACACTTACCGGGTCCGGATTACTAAGTTCGTTTCCTATAATAATAGCACTGGCTGCTGCCACCCTCTGTCTTTCTCGGCTAGCTTCTCTATCTAAACGTACCCTATCTTTTTCCTGCTGAATCAACCACTCCGATCTTTCTTGCTCTTCTCTTCTATGCCTCTCCTCTTCTAATTCTCGTTCTAGTTGTTTTTTCTTGTCAAACCTTGAAAAGAAAATATACGTTTATTAAAAAAATATTATTTAAGTTAATATATTAAGGCTATAATATTGTAGTGGTTATACCCTACTGGTCATCCAAACTATGTGGTCTGGATTTTTATGCGTGTGACAGAGAATAATATAAATGACCGGTTGACAGACAGAAAGTCAAAATCAAAAACGGCATACAGTATTTCCGGGTTTTTACGTTTGTAGAAAAATGCGTCTAGAAAAATATAAGCTATTTTAAAAAGTTTCATGTAAACTACTGAAATGAAGATAATATATCTAAGCTAAATATAATCTATAACAGCTGTAGAAAAATGAGTTACTAATAGTGAAAAATAAAGTTCCAACCCTGGATGCAAGATTTCGTAATCGATCGTAAACGCCTACTTCTGCGGTTTAAAATGTTGATGCAAAATCCGGCAATATCACATAGAAGAAATGTATCGACGCAATTTCTATATTTTTTTATTAATCATTAAGCTGTCTACATAACTGTCTTACACGTTAAAATCAAGACCGCGCACTTTCGATGACCAAATCGGTATAAACATATTTGTAAAGTTAGATTTATGTGACTAAATTGTAGTTAGTAGGTTCTGGGATTAAGTAATCGTTAAAGTAAGAAATTTACTTACCTCATTTGTGCTTCTCGGCGGTCTACACCTTCTTCGGCAGTTTCCACATAACTTCTCTCCTTTTTAGGTGACATTCTTTTACCTCTAAGCGGTGGTTTTGGCCTCTTCGGTTGATCGTCATCGAAACTAATGTAAAAACCTAAAACAACATCATTATTTCAGGTAAATAATAAGAATAGTCTCCCATATACAACGTTTACACTGCCTTGAGATATAAATACAAATTCCTATAAGTATGTCGAGTTTATTTCATAAAAAACTAAAAGATCAATAACTCTTATTATTAATTTCTTATTAGAGTATGAATGAATAAAGGAACCGGGTGGAAGGAAAAAAACAATAGTTCAAATAATAATATTAAAATAAAGTGATTAAGCTTGACCAGCACAGCGTTGCCCACTTTTATATATTTTCTTTTAATCAAAATATTTTAGGAAAAAATAAATTAGTTATAAATATACAGGGTGGCCGAACTGTATTCCGGAAACTTCACCAGCATATTCTGCAGATAAAAATAAGTAAAAAAGTTCGTATAAATGTATGTCCTAAAATACTTAGTTTCGGAGATACAGGGTTTTTTTCAAATAATATCTGAAGTAACGTCAATATTTGTATGAAAATTGGTGTCTGGGAGTTTTTTAACATGAGAAATTTGATTTTGATGTCAATATGACTGCCATTTGTAGGGGCGCCACCTACATGTGTTTTAACTGTTTTGAAGAGTAATACCTTTTCTCGTCCACAACCGTTTTTAAGATATTTAGAACGGTAATAGTCAATACATGCGATTATTGACAAAAAATAAACACGTTGAATAGATAGTCATTTGACTGAAAAAATAAATTTGAGAAATTTTGACTTTTTTAAATTAATCATAAATTTAATAGAAACAGTTTCTATTAAACTTTTGACACAAAAACATTTCAAATTTATGATTTCAGTCTAATAACTATTTAGTCAACATGTTTAATTTATGTCAATGATGACAGGTATTGATAATTTCGATTCCAAATATCTCGAGAAACATTACTCGGAACGATTTTTACCAAGAGTAACCAGTTAAAAATTAGTAACGGACGCCGTCTACAAGTAGGAGTTATACTGACATCAAAATCAAATTTCTCATGTCAAAAAACTCCCAGATACCAATTTTCATCCAAATATTGACGTTACTTCAGAAATTATTTGGAAAAAAATCGAAATAAAAATGAAACTTCTACACCCTGTATCTTCGAAACTTTTTTTACTTTAATATTTGTTTCAGTTCTATCCAAATTATATTCAGTAATTTCTCAAATCCAATTAGATAGAAAACAGCTGTTAATAAACATAAACATTGACTAACCTTTCTGGGCACTGGGGTCATTATCAAGACTGCTAACGTCAGCCTGAGGTATGCTTTCCATTATTGGCGGCGAGGGAGATTGTTGGAAAGGTGACATTCTAGAAATCAATGGCCTCGTAGGTGACGGTATGCGATATGTTCGACTGCCTGAAGTAATGTTAAGGCGACTCAAACCTGAAATAAACAAAAATACAATAAATTATAATCGATTTATTTCTCCTATTATTTTATTACTGTTCTATTTCATCCTAATAATAAATTTAATTAATCTTATTTATAAAAAACACATTAAAACAAACAAAATTTAGATATTAACATATTTAAAAAAATACAATGACTTCTAAAATTATTCTAACACTGATACGTTTCCTTTTAAGTGAGGTTTAGACCGACCATTGCCTCCTAATAATTGATATTTAAATATTTTCATGACTAATAACCACCTGTAATCGAGTATAAATAAATCTGACCATCTGTTGTTATTTAATGAACATTATTTACTTAAGAGATTATTGGTTTTTTAACATTTTTAATGTTGTTTTTAAAATTGATAGATTCTTAATTCTGCCTGATCATATAATACAGTGTTTGCAAGTGCAGGTAAATTGTGTAATCAAACGACTATCAAAGACTATCATCCAGTATCCGTATTATATATAACTTATTTTAAAGTGTGTGTTAGTGAATTCGTTTTGTACATGTAAATAGCTATTAAACAATATAAAAATGTTTGATGTTCCATATTAAGATAGTCCTTTGCTTTAAAAAAACACTCATGGAAATTGGTGAAGCGTTAGCAGAACTGAGCAAAAATACCTCTTGGGCTTTTCTACATTATGTACTAGTTGAAACTCGTCTAATTTCGACGACAGTTGATTTGAAAAGTGAATGTAAAGTCATAGATAAAATAAAATAATCATCTATTAAGATAGATATGAAACTCAATAGCAAAAATTTTAGGTCAAAGCGCCCCTCCGTGTCCTTAGTCAGTCTTTACTACGTTTAACCTAGCGCATTGGCCCTTTCTGCTTGTCTACTCAACAGAAATATATATATATATTCTAACATCGACAATATACCAGAATACCATAACGCCCGATGTATTAATTTCTAATAATTAAGATATCAATGACAGTGAACAAGAAACGACGCCTCCGTTAAGTCATAGTAGGCTGTGGAAAAAAGTTGCTTTTAAAGGAATAGTTTAAACATCAAAATATTATTATATCAACATTTCGATAGTCTCAACAGCGTTTCTTTTATCTTTTGATTGCTTTTCTAAAAATGCCTTTCTTCAATAGAGAAAAAACGCTGCTAAGACTATCAAAATGTTGATCAAATAACACTTTGACGTTTATACTATTACATCAAAAGCAACTTTTTCCAAATCCTACCATGACTTCACTGAGGCATTGATTCTTATTCACTGTCATTGATATCTTAATTATTAGAAATTAATACATCTGGTATTATGTTATTCTGGTATATTGTCCATTTTAGAACAAACTAATCATTTCTATCTTATTTTTTATTAGAATAGTCATAATCAAGAGGGCTACTGTAACCGTGTTATAAAAATAAGATAATTAAGGGCTTATTTTTTCGTATTATTATAATTTTTGCTAATATTTTCGGTTTGAAAGGGGGTATCAAAATACGGTTTTCGTTGACTTTTTAAGCTTTTATTACTCTTTACTATCAGCTAAAATTACATATACTATCGCATTTATTTTTTTTGAAAAAACGCGCAATGTTTGTTAAATTGTAAGACACCGCCTACTAGCGTCTACATTCAAAAGCTTATTATTATTGTTTATACGGTATAATATAGAGTATGACACGCTCTTTTAAACGAGCCGCCGCTTGCTGGATTCCGTTCATCCAGTCCGGAGTTATTAATATTTAAATAAAAACAGATAAATAAAAACATTCCCCCACCACTTTATTTTAGCAGATAAGAAAAAATGGTTCCAACAAAAAATATTCACAATTTATTGAAGATTATGAATCTATCATTTATAGTACCCGTTATCTAGGCAAAATTGTGTAAAAATGTCTTTTTCTTATGGTTTATAGCAGTTGCACCCTCTAGCGGCCGTTTACAAACTTGAAAATAATTTCCAGCAATTTCTCATAGCCTCTTTAGTTATAAATGTTTTTTTCCGCAGGCCCTACGGCTAATACTTTCCGAGATACAGCCGAGAGCTATTTTTAGTGGGACACCCTGTACAACTATTTTACGGTCTTTTTTCCGGTAAATCGCAATAGTTAATAAGGCAATAAATAAAATAATCGCAATAAGTAATTAAAGTTGTGACAGAATTATCTTCTAGATTTACTACCTCTAAACAAAACCGACTGTAGAATAAATAATATAAAATATGGTCAATAAAAACAAACAAATCCACAAAATTTCAAATGTTTCAATTGAAACGTCAAACAGAACTATCAAGGATGCGGACTTACTTTCACTGAGAGCTGCGTCTTCATTATTGCCAATGAACGAGATATTTTGCGGTTCCATATCGTCTACGGGGGGCGCAGCGACCGGTGCATGAGTGACGCTAATCTTGCGCTCTCTAGCGGGCGCCGCGTCAATTTGTTGCAGGTTGACAGGTGACGTTTGACGTTTCGACGTCGACGCGTCGTCGAGCAACTGAGAGATTTGGCGGTGCACGTTACGGTGCTGGGGAGATGCGGACGGTGTGCTATGTGAAGTATTGTATTGACTCTGAAACAATAATTTCCTGTCAGTATGATGATCAATAGTTAAGTAAGGACCGTTATTGGTCATGTCAATGGGACTAACCTGGTCGTGATGCCTCTGACTGAGTGTAAAGCTATTTGAATGATTCAGAGTGCGATCATGATCGCCGTTTTGATACCTATTGTCTGTATGTCGTACAGGAGATTCGTGGTAGCGGTCCTGGCGATCTTGGAACCTTAAAAATTCAGATAATTATCAGTATTAAATATTAAAGTTTCAACATTTTTAATTATAAATGCTATTAAAATATTTAAATAAATTAGAACAATAAATAAGTCCACGCATATTGTTGTCCATTTGAGAATTAAAAAAAAGGTTATTAACATTTTATACTCTGTTTTTTTTTCTCAAGTAAGATTTCGACAGACGATGACAGAAAAAAAGCAGATGACGTTCATACCAATCTATTTATTTTACTAAAAAAAGTTTATATTTTTTAAGGACGGGTTTAAATATAAATCCGTCATGCGTCATCTCTTGTTGTTTTTAACCAGTTTTATTGGTTTATTTCAAAAAATTACAGATCATATTTAAATTTTATTGGTTTGACAGAACGACAAACGGACGACGATGCATATAAACTCGCCTTTAGATTTTTGAGGCTTGTCAAAGTCTTGCCAAATTATAGGTTATAATTTTGTGTCAACATACGTCAAATACTCTGCGTTTTGGAAGATGATGCATTTTGAATTGTATTATTACATATGTTTTGTGTCTTTTGAAGTCAAGTGGAGGAAAAATCGAGGTAAAATTAATTGTAGACGCAGAGCACAGTTTATAGTTAATACTCGGTGCCCAGGCAGAGTCTTATACACCAATAAAGTTACCATCAATAAAGATTGTATACCATCTCCTCATAGATAAGTGCATCTCGTATATGATACAAGGATCGTACTAAACATATACTAAAAACTGGAGTAGCTGTAAAATAACGACATCACACGATAGGTAAATAATGGATTTTAGTACTGCAGAAAAATAATGTTAAAAGGTAATGGTTTAAAAAAATTAAGATTAAAGTTAATTAACCAACCTTTAAGGTATAAAATTCGGTAAGTGTTATTATTAATAAAATAGTTTGTTTTATTTATTCCTGTGGAATATTATAAATTTGTTTAAGTTATATTGATAAATAATATAATAATAAATGCGGGAAGTTTCTTGAAGCTTATAAGTAAGTAATCACTTGTCACTCAGATTTTAAATACTCATATATTAATTTCCAATTGTACTAACTTATTTCTTTGTAAAATAAAATAAACTACTTTGAAATTAAAACATCATATACCGATTTGGAACTGTGCGGTCTGGATTTTAACGTGTAAGACAGTGATGTAGACAGCTCAATGAAAAATCAAATGAGAAAACAGAGATACAAATTGGGTCGATACATTTCTTCTATGCGGTATTGCCAGATTTGCATCAAAATTTCAAACCGCACGCATTTGCAAACAAGTATGCATTTATGAAAAATCTTGCATCTATGGTTGGAACTTTATTTTTTACTATTTAGTTACTCATTTTACTACAGCTGTAATAGATTACATTTAGCTTAGATATATTATCTTCATTTCAGTAGTATATATAAAAGTTTTTTTTTCCTACAAACGTAAAAAAGCGGCAATACTCGATGTCGCTTTTGATTTTGTCTCTCTGTCTGTCAACCAGTCATTTATATTATTCTCTGTCACACGCATTAAAATCCAGACCACAAAGTTTGGATGACCAGCAGGGTATTATTTCGCAAGACATAATACAGATTTATGCCAATCATTACCTATCCATGGTATGGTGTAAAACAAATCCACCCGGCGTACTTTCAGACTGTATAGGTTGTGGTTTTCCCCAGGTCCTCAATTCCGGTTGTTGAGGCTGATAGAGATCAGGCGCTGGTGGCATGTGAGCTGTCGGCGGTTGTTGGACTTGACCCCACGTACGCCTCTGAGTGGTAGGGGGCGGTGCTGGTGAACTATCATGCAGGAAGAATTGCGATGGGTCGACTTGCTTTGGTTGCGAGTACAGCGATTGAGGCACGTGAGGCGCGCTTAAGGATGTTTGTAATGGTTGACCGAATGCTGAAAAATAAATAAATTAATTACAATGTTGGAATTCATCAAAAACTTAGTAGTTAGGGTCTGCCCAACTATGAACTGAACATATGACAGTGACAGTTGTCCACCGTTTTAAATAAAAAGTAATGTTTTTTTTTTCAGTTTTTGATATATTCTGTCAAAATCATCCTTCTCTCGCTGAATATATTATAATAAGTAATATGAAACAGAGTACTCTTTTTTTGTCCGTTACGAAAATTTGTTTTATTACTAAATTAGAGCTGACAAATTGGTTTACGCTGGATCAACGCAGCGGTGTTAAAAAAATAACTATTTTATTTTGTAGATTGTCTTCAACTCTTTTTTGAAGAAATAAGATTTGATATAGCACTGTATAGAATGTACTAAAAATACATTAAATTTATAGGTATGTCGAAGTATTTTTGTTTTGTATTGCTAAACTTGACAACTTGATGTTGTTGAAGTTATTGCTGTATTACTGCTTCAAATCCGTTTGTCAGATAATATATCCGTTGAAAGTTAAACATTTTTTGAACAATTTATCACTTACTTTGCTGCATATACTTGATAGGATGATAGTAATCTTGTTGTTGCGGTGGATGTGACGGTTGCCTCTGCATCGTATGCAGCTGTTGCTGCTGTTGCTGAAGCTGCAATATCTGTTTCTGTTGTTCGGCGATAATTTTTTGTTGGTGTTGTGTTTGCATTTGGGTTTGCTGAGCGGCTAACCTTTGAATATCTGATTGAATATCAGAAAGACTAGAATTCATTCTGAAATAACGAACACTTCAAATTAATTTTAAAACATTTTTCTCCTTTAGTTGCTAAATATTAGTAATTAAATTATTCATGATAATGACAGTTTTTTTAACAACTACATATATACTAAGTATTTTTTTACACAATCATAGCTAAGAAAGAAACCATAAAAGACTAATACTCGATAACTAAAGTAAAACACAAAAGAAATGAAAATTTAACTTACAGTTTACCATAAAATTATGAGCTTAAATGATAATTAGTTATTACTTACTGAGCCATCGACTGTTGATATTGTTCTAAATCCATATTTTCTAAATCTGGAGTTCTACGAGTTTCTACAAACGGTTGAGTATCGTCTAACCACTTTTTCTCCACTGTCGTGGCATCGTCCGTAATTTCCTAATAAATATAATGCAAGAAATAGAATATTGTGACTTTTCTAAACATATCGGAAGCTGTTGTAACATGGTCTACGATTATTCTAAGAGGCCTAGCGACATCATAAATTTTATTAAACAAATAGTACATAAAAATCCAAATAATATATTAATTATTGCATATCAGATCAAAGCTACCAAACAAATCGGACATACACAAATAGATAACAGTTTAAATTTGGAACACAATAGTCAATAAGTCATAATACGACTCTGGAGTGTTCTTACTAGCATAGATTCAATTAAGTCAAATTAGAAATCGAAAAATTTTTGGTCATTTTTGTGTCTACAATTACTATTTTTTATGTTAATGCCTTTTAGAACTCTAGAAACACCGTAGCAAAATTGGTATCAGTTTAAAACTAATATTTTTGTGTACCTTAATATTTGTAATTCAGAATGTCGGGTGTCATTTGACATTTAAATGACAAAAACGTTGCTATCTTCACGAGTATCCACTCTTCGTGGAAACAGATTTAGGATAAACATTACATACTACATATACAGGGTGTCCCACTAAGAATAGCTCTCGGCTGTATCTCGGAAAAAATTAGTCGTAGAGCTTGCGGAAAAAAAATATTTGTAACTAAAGAGACCATGAGAAATTGCTGGAAATTATTTTCAAGTTTGTAGGACGGCCGCTAGAGACCGTAACTTCTATGGAAAATAACAAAATGGAACTTTTAAGAAATTTTGCCTAGATACGATGTAATATAAATAATAGGTTCATAATCTTCAGTAAATTTTGGATCTTTTTTGTTAGAACTATTTTCCCCTATCTGCTTAAATAAAGTGGTGGGGGAAGGTTAAAGAGTAAGGTAATAAAAGCTTAACAAGTCAGCGAGCACCGCATCTTGACATCTTTTTTCAAACCAAAGTTATTAGCAAAATTATAATAAATAAGAAAATATAAGCCCTTAATTACCTTATTTTTCTAACACGATATCACTAGCCTTCTCGATTATTACCATTTTAATAAAAAAATAAGATAAAAATATTATTTCATTCAAAAAATAGAACTACTAGGTGATGTATTAACATCTAATAATTAAGATATCAATGACGGTGGATAAGAAACGACACCTCAATGAATTCATGGTAGGCTTTGGAAAAAAGTTGCTTTTAGAGGAATAGTTTAAACATCAAAATATTATTATATCAACATTTTGACAGTCTCAGCAGCGTTTTTTTATCTTTTGATTGCTTTTCTAAAAATGCCTTTCTTCAGTAGAAAAAAACGCTGCTAAGACGATCAAAATGTTGATCTAATAACACTTTAACGTTTATACTATTACGTCAAAAGTAACTTTTTTCCAAAACCTTCCATGACTTCACTGAGGCGTCGTTTCTTATTAACTGTCATTGATATCTAATTATTAGATATTAAGATTCTGATTTATGGTATTTTGGTATATTGTCGATTTTTGAATAAACTAATCATTTCTATTTTATTTTTTGTCAGAATGTTCATAACCAAGAGAGCTACTGTAACCGTGTTGTAAAAATAAGGTAATTAAGGGCTTATTTCTTCGTATTTATTATAATTTTGCTAATATCTTTGGTTTGAAAGAAGATATCAAGATGCCAAGTATGCCGAGAAAATTCGTTTATTGCTCTGATAATTATTGAGTAGCTTCTTTGATTTAATGACATTTGTATCAAATTTACGTAAATCGTTACACATTTACAATTACGAGTTCCAAACTGAATTGAATCTATGCGTTCGAACAGAAAATCGGGCACGCAATTCGATGCAAGCAAAACTAAACAAACGAACAAATAATACCTGCAAGGTAAACGGCCTCTGTGGTTTTGGTGTGGGAACGGGTTCGGGGGGACAGGGGCTTGGTGTTTTTTCGCTAGAGCCCCCCTCTGCCGAGTCCGTGGCCGACTCGGCAGCATCGTTCGGAGGCGATTTTACAAAATTACCTCTTCCCTGAAAGTTAGTACACAGTGTTTCAGACAGCCCGACACCTCTATTAGATCAAACAACATTCGCCTTGACAGTAACGATCGGTGGAATATGTGTGTGGCTTTGGCGGAAAATCAACTAGTTACCGTCGGTCGTTTCGAGAACAATATCCACAAAAGTATCTTTAGAATTATTAAGTATATACAGTCTCCCAAGCTGAGCATGCATTAGAAGTTTCTAGAGAACTAGATCTAGATCGGAGATTTTTTGCACATCATTGTTTAACAATGAGACCTATCAATTAAAAATATTTTCAACATGGCGGCACTTCCGGGAATACCGGAAGTGGACAGCAACTTTCTTATTTTAAATGAGTACTCATTACATACTATTTTTTATTATATTAAATTCTCTATAAAATTTTATGAATTTTGATATCAATCACTCTCTACCTAACATTAACCGTTTTTGAGAAAAAAAAATATTTAAAATTTTGGAAGAAAAAAACTGCCTGTCAAAAAGATTTTTATAGCCTAAACGTCAAATTTAGTGATTACCACAGCCACTGTGACATAAAGAGAAGATATGTGGCTATCTATTTCAAAAATTAAATTGTTTGAATGTTATATAATATTGGTAACTGCGGTAACTGTCATGGAATTGGGAGATTAAAATCGATTTTTTCAAATGGAAATACACTTTTTTTATTTCACCAGTGAAAAGATTTTTCAATTCTTTATTTTTCGATTATACATGTTGCTATACCTAAAATGAATCATTTTCAAGTTTTCTAAGATTTAGTTTTAAAGCGTAAATTTTTTTCTTGATTTTATCTAGCTTCCTTTGACGTTAAGTGTCAAACCGTCAGACAGTTTATTTCCTTCAGTCAAAAAACTAATTATCTGAATTTCGTATATTATAAATACTGCTGCTAAAACTTTATAAAGTGTATTTATAAAAATATATATCGTATTGTTACGTTTTTCGTCGGTTCCGTGTGGATAGAAAGTCACAATTTATTTAACACTAATTAACAAAAACAATAACGATTAAAAGACTTAAAGAACTATATACAAACTATTTATAACTATTTATCTAGAAAGAATTTATTTTGAATTTAGCGCGACAACTACTGTACTAGTCTATTTATTTCTGTATTCTTCAGGCCCCAGCCGCCGGATTTTATACCCACAGCTAAAGATTTCTCGAATAATCCATAGATCGTTAGGTGCATAGAGAAGGTTTCGAATGTTCTCATATATATTACTCCATTCCAGTGAAACTCAATTCTTCTCGAACGTTCGAATGAATCATTACGGTGTCTATTCTTTAATGCGATGTTAAGGTCGCCTGGGGGCGGGACATATAGTTGGGTTAGATCGAGTCCACACGGGTCCGCAACAGTATTTTAGCGATATCTAATGGTAAATATGACATGGCCAGACTAAGGGCCAGATATAGTTTTACATCGCTTGAAGTCATAGGCTACTGGTTAAAAACCAGAAAAATATACGCTCTAAAACTAAATCTTAAATAACTTGAAAACGATTTATTTTAAGTATATGAACATGTATAATCAAAAAGTAACGAACTGAAAAATATTTTCACTAGTGAAATAAAAAAGTGGGTTTCTATTTGAAAAAAAAAATGATTTATGATAATTTTTTAATCTCTCGATCCTATAACAGCTACGGCCAATATTATATTACATTCAAACGATTTAATTTTTGAAATAGATAGCCACATGTCTTCTCTTTATGTTACAGTACAATTGTAATCATTAAATTTGACGTCTAGGCTATAGAAAATTTTTTGACAGGCAGTTTTTTTCCTCCAAAATTTTTAAATATTTTTTTTCTCAAAAACGGTTAATGTTAGGTAGAGTGTTTGATATCAAAATTCATAACATTTTATAGAGAATTGAGGCGCTTAGAATAAAAGGGATACAAGTAACTTTTTTCTAAATGCAGATTTAGATACTTTAGGTACCAATTTATTTGGTATAAAATGGAGTTAAGTACATTTTACAGTGGCACTAGGTAGAGTAGAGTGTAGAATTTACTTAATTTCCTTTTATACTAAGTACATAAATTGGGGATATCTAAAGTGTCTAATTCAAACTTTCTTTATTGCACTTATGAAACGTTCTATTGCACTTATGAATAGTTTTCTTTTCCGAAATTGGTGACGTCATTTCGTAAATTACTGCACATTACTATACATTTGTAGTCCTATGTAAACACAAATTAACTGCGTTTAAATAATATAGCGTGTTGCTGATGTTTTGAAAATTAGCCTTTCTTATACAGTTTAAGAAGTAAGAAGTACGATTATATTTAATTATTTTAGACATCTTGAACTTCTAGAGTAACAAAGTGTATTTTATTGTATTAAATCTACCTTTGTATAATCAAAATAATTCTAAAGATCAATAGTGTGGGTAATGCTAAAAGACCGTGTATAAATCATTATTAGTTATTTAAAAAAAAACGGTGCAAATCTTGTAAAATGCGTGTGTTATAGTTGGTGTACGCTAAAAACTCAATATCTACTTGTAATAGATATAATATAATTATTTCCAAAAAGTATATCTAACACAACAGCAATTTAAACCTTTAACATAACTATAAGTGATCTACATTACAAGCTTAAGTTAATAAATAATTATAGAAGTTCCAGAAAAATTGAAAAATTAAATTATTTCAAATTAGCCAATGTTGAGGATAAATTAATAACTTAATAATACTATGATACAAAATTAGTGGGGCATGTGCATTTTTATTATTAATTGACATAGTCTGAAGGAATTACAGAGAGATCTAGCTAATATAGCAGCAGATTTTAAACATTTTTTTATGTGTTTGGATGTTGTGGAAAGACCGAAAAACCACAGCTAACATAATAGAAAACCATGCAAAAGATATCAAGATAAAAAAATACTAAAAATATTTTACAAAATAAAAAAAATACATTACCAAGACACTAATGTATTCATAAAATCTACCCTCAAAACAAGCAACTATTTCTATGTCTATGGTGATGACTGTCTATGGTATGATTCTGGTATATAAGAAAATAGAATTTATGTGCCTTATAAAACCATGAAATGAATCTATATTAAATCGAAAAAAGTATTGAAATTTCATTTGGCGACATCTTACCGATTCAGCCAGCTAGGAAGTAAATTTATACGTCATTGAGTTAAAGAAAGATTAATATGATTAACATAGAAATAGAATGTACTTTTACACATTTGACAAGCTTCAGTGCAACCTGGGTATACTTAGATTCCCGAAAAAATATATAAGTGACTTACTTTAACTACTGCTTGAAGAAAAGCAGCTTTTCCTACTTTTTGTCTTTGCTTATTCATTGCTACTTCCATTCTTCTTTTCTCACTTTCAATATGGCGACGTTTTTCTTCTAATTTTAACCTGCGTTACAATACAATATTTGTAATTATCTTTAGCTATAATTTTCTGAGGAATTAATTTTGTTTATGATGTTGGTTGTAATTTAGCTCATGTTGAACACATTTTAATTATAGCCTGTACAACGAGAGGATACATGACAGTGACAGTTGTCTGTCATTTATATTCATAGTTAAGGCTGTATTCCGTTGCAAAACCAGGCGAACCAGACCGGTAAACTACGGTAAAGAGCGGTTCCTGAAAAACATTGGTTTGATACGGAACGGTTTGGTAAAATACTGAAAACGTCAAATGTTGACGTTTTCTAAATTTTTAATGTACCTATTCTCGGCTTTTAGGTTTGCTTCTTTTCAATGGAGTTTAATATTGAAAAGTACTTTATTAATAAACTATTAAACTCGGTAGACAGCTCAAGTGAAGACTTGCACGTCCAATATTAAAACAGATCAATAATAAATAAACAAATCTAATCAATATTTATATTTTTATAGCTTACAAAACATTCACGATTACTTGTTGTCTTGTTTTTCATGTTTTTTTTTAAATGTTCCTGACTTTAAGGAACAATGGCTGCATGATAAGTTTAAATGGTCCTAAAAAGTAATTCTATTTAGCAAATGAAATTTATTTACCTTTACTGCCTACCTCCATTGCTTTTGGATGTAAATACAAAATATTATTACAAATTTTAGAAATTAAATGAGATTTTCACTGGAACTTCCAATATTTATTAATTTCTGTCACATAAATGACTTTGATTGACAAACAAAACCAGAAAAACCAGCCTTCTCGCGCTGGTTAGTTTGGTGACAGTTATAACCGAATTTTTCAGAACAAGAAAACTTTCAGGAAACCGATAGAAACGGAACATAAAACCCAAAGAATATACCTAGCTAGAACTAGAGGATAAAACCATAACCAAGGTAAGCAACGGAATAGACCCTAAATTGTATTTTCTGTCATTTTTAGGACGTCCTCTGTCAAAATCTTTCTTTACTTCGAAGGAATTTAAATGGGATCCATGATAAAATATCTAAATATAATTCTAATATAACAGATAACCAATTCATATTGAATCTTACCTAATATCATTCAACTGAGAAGCCATGACGTTACTAGGGCCACCGTTCTCAGCACCGTTGCTCGGACTTTCCTGAGTCTGAATATTATTGACTTGTTGTTGCCAAGTGGTTGTGTTTGGCAGTGTTGCGAAGGAGGTTTTCTTTTCGGCGGCGGGGGCGTTGCCGTTCGTATTGCCTAATTTGTTTAGAAAACTCGACTTCGGAGGGTACTCTTCTCTATCGTTCATATAAACTAAATGTATCCCTTTATTTTCACCTAGAAAGTACAACATGTTATTAGATAGTTATTTCCAAAAAAGGATTTATGATTTTTATATCGCAATATATTATGTACAGGGTGTCCCACTAAGAATAGCTCTCGGCTGTATCTCGGAAAGTATTATTCGTAGAGCTTGCGAAAAAAAACATTTATAACTAAAGAGGCTATGAGAAATTGCTGGAAATTATTTGCAAGTTTGTAGAACGGCCGCTAGAGGGCGCAACTGCTATAAAAATAATAAAATTGAGTTTTTACACAGTTTTGTCCAGATAACTAGTACTATAAATAATAGCTTCATAATCTTGAGAAAATTTTGAATATTTTTTGTTAGAACCATTTTCCCCTATCTGCCAAAATAAAGTGGTGGGGGAAGGTTCGATCTGTTTTTATTTAGATATTAATAACTTCGGACTGGATAAACGGAATCCAACAAGCGAGAGCTCGTTTAAAATAGCGTTTCTTTTTCTATATTATACTGTATAATCGATAATAATAAGCTTTTGAATGTAGACGCCAGGGAGCGCGGACTTACAATTTAACAAACATTGCGCGTTTTTTTTTAAATTAAATGCGATAGTATATGTAATTTTAGCTGATGGGAAAAAGTAATAAAAGCTTAAAAAGTCAGCGAAAACCGCATCTTGATATCCTCTTTCAAACCAAAGATATTAACAAAATTATAATAAATACGAAAAAATAAGCCCTTAAAATTACCTTATTTTTATAATACGGTTACAGTAGCCCACTTGATTATAACCATTCTAAAAAAAAATAAGATAGAAACGATTAGTTTATTCTAAAATCGACAATATACCAGAATACCATAATAGGTACTAGGTGTATTAATATTTAATAATTAAGATATCAATGACAATGAATAAGAAACGACGCCTCAGTGAAGTCATGGTAGGCTTTGGAAAAAAGTTGCTTTTGAAGTAATAGTTTAAAGTCAAAGTGATATTAGATCAACATTTTGATAGTCTTAACAGCGTTTTTTTCTCTTTTGAAGAAAGGTATTTTTAGAAAAGCAACCAAAACATAAAAAACGCTGCTGAGACTATCAAAATGTTGATATAATAATATTTTGATGTTTAAACTATACACTTAAAAGCAACTATTTCCAAAGCCTACCATTAATGCACTGAGGCGTCGTTTCTTGTTCACTGTCATTGATATCTTAATTATTATTATAGATATTAATACACCTAGTATTATGGTATTCTGGTATATTGTCGATTTTAGAATAAACTAATCGTTTCTATCTTATTTTTTATTAGAATGGTCATAATCAAGAGGGCTATTGTAACCGTGTTATAAAAATAAAATAATTTTAAGGGCTTATTTTTTCGTATTTATTGTAATTTTGTTAATATCTTTGGTTTGAAAGAGGATATCAAGATGCGGTTTTCGCTGATTTTTTAAGCTTTTATTACGCTTTACCATCAGCTAAAATTACATATACTATCGCATTTGTTTAAAAAAAAAACGCGCCCCCTGGCGTCTACATTCAAAAGCTTATTATTATCATTTATACGGTATAATATAGAGTAAGAAACGTTCTTTTAAACGAGCTCTCGCTTGTTGGATTCCGTTTATCCCAGTCCGAAGTTATTAATATTTAAATAAAAACAGATCGAACCTTCCCCCACCACTTCATTTTGGCAGATAGGGGAAAATGGTTCAAAAAAAAAATATCCAAAATTTTCTGAAGATTATGAAGCTATTATTTATAGTACTAGTTATCTGGGCAAAACTGTGTAAAAACTCAATTTTATTATTTTTTATAGCAGTTGCGCCTTCTAGCGGCCGTTCTACAAACTTGAAAATAATTTCCAGCAATTTCTCATAGCCTTTTCAGTTATAAATATTTTCTTCCGCAAGCTCTACGACTGATACTTTCCGAGATACAGCCGAGAGTTATTCTTAGTGGGACACCCTGTACCTAATTGTAAAATGCATTAAACAATAATATCAAATTTAAAAAAATCAGGTTTTAAATTAATTAAAATCCCAATTTAAAATTAATTAAAAAAATCAGCCTCGCTATTTTGTAGAGGTGAGAAAGTGAGAATGACAAAGTACCTATTTTTTCACAAATCAACCAAAATTTAAGCAAAATCAAAGAAAGTAAAAAATAACATGGACTTCCAGTAGTCATATTAGTCTGATTACTCACCGATCATCTTCGTCTTGCCCAAATCGGCAAAACTCATCCTATTGCCCGCATCGCCGTCCACCAAATCCTTGATGACGGCCTCCTTATCGAAGCGGCTCTTGAGCGTGATGTCGTCGCTGCTCATTTGCCGCTTGATCCTCTGGATCTTCTCCGAGCCGTCGTCTTGTTTCTCTTCACAGCCATTGTCGTAACCTAATTGGAATGAGCCTCGCGCGTCCTGCAAGGAAGATCTGACGGGATTGTTCTCGATCGGGGTCGGGAAACTGGGCGCGGATATTTTTCTACCTACATGTACAGTCATCTGAAAATAAATTACATGTTATTACAGAGTTATTCCATACATTACAATATTATGTTATACTAGCATGTACCCTGGAATTCGTTCGCGTCGAATTAATCTTTTGCAATGGTGATGATAAAGCAAAGCAAGAATTTCCATTAACATACAAACTGGAGCACAATCGTGGTTAATCAATTATCCAACTTTTTGGAACACCCTGTATAATTTTTTAAAAAATTTCAAAATATGTAAAAAACAAAATAAATTATGCGTGTCCAAGCGTTTTCCCGAACGACTAACCGTTTTTTAAATTACAAATATTGTAATATTTGAGGGGCGTTTTCACTCTCTTGGAATTTGAGATTCGAGAAACCCCTCCTTATCGAACCTCTACACCCCACAGTCAATCCGTTTGCCAAAAATCAGCTTTAAATGTCAAGCAGTTTAAGCAGAATCGTGATTACTCAATGGTCATATTTTATGAAACACCCTGTATAAATTTTTAAAAAAATCTTAAAATATGTAAAACAACAAAATAAAATATACGTGTTTAAGAGTTTTTCCGAAAAACTCACCGCTTTTTAAATAAAAAATATTCTAATATTTGAGGAGTGGTTTCACCTCCTTACAATTCGAGTTCGAAAAATCACTACACCCTAAAGTCAATCCGTTTTCCAAAAATCGGCTTTTTACGTCAAGCGCTTTAAGCAGGATCGTGATTAATCAATGACCAGATTTTTCGAAACACCCTGTATACATTTTTAAAAAATCTTAAAATATGTAAAAAACAAAATAAAATATACGTGTTTAAGCGTTTTTTTTTCAGAAACTTTTTTTAAATAAAAAATATTGTAATATTTGAGGGGTGGTTTCACCCCCTTGAAACTGAAATTTCGAAACATCCCTTCTTGTCGAACCACTACACCCTAGAATCAACCTGTATGCCAAAATTGAGCTTCTTACGTTGAGTGGTTTGAGCAGGATCGTGATTAATCAGTGAGTAAGTCACTTAAGGATTTTATATATATTAGTATAGATTATAAATTCTGGAATGTAGAAATATACTTGAAATTTACACAGTAGTACTATTTTCTAGTACCCCTCCTGTACGTCATTTTTTTTTGAACCTAGATCTTGAAATATTGTCGCTCAAAGTCGTACATTTTAACATACTAAGGGCTGGCAAAGGTTAGACTTGGGTCGAGATTTCCGTATGTAAGAAAAGTACAATGCGTTTATAATGTACTGAACAAAGAGAGGGCAATAAAAACGTTGCCAAACGTATGAAATAAACCGAGAAGCTGTGCACATTGCTAAGAGGCGTGGAAGGGGATATAGCAGATTCGTCGCGGTCGGCCCAATCAGTACTTAAAATTCTAGGAAAGTGTGTTCAGCTTCACGATTTAATTACGTCTCGTCATACTTTATTTGTTTATTTATCAACGAGTCGTAATTTTCCTTAATGCTTGTACATTTTTAAGTTAGTTAGAAAGACTTGCACTTTGGTAAAAATAAGTGAAATTGAGTTGGTGTTCGGCAGTGGTCAAGCTATTAGAACTCATTTAAAAATCGATATCTCGAAATCAATTGGAAACAATTGATTATAGTCTTTTTTAAATATTTTCTTAATATTTCTCTATATTTTCTTCGCAGACAGTATGTGAAAAGTTTTATAAATAAAAAAGTTACATGATTGCTGAAAATTGCTATGCACTAAAACTAAAGAGATGTTTTTTTTTTAATTTTTGAATGGAAAAAAAACAAGCCTATCGAATTTTTCTTATTTAAACATCTTGTGAAAGAAGTAGTTCTTGAGTTATCGCGTGTTATGTGTTAAAAAGTTGAGTTTTTAAATTATCGCGATTACTGACGTTTTCTCGTTATAAAAAAATGACACCTTAACGATATCCTTATAATTCCATTTCAGATGCTCAGAAACATATCTAATGATTTTATCTAGTTATCTTTTCGAAAGAAGTCTTTTAAAAATAAGCGGTTTGCGATAGTGATTTTATTTTACTTGATAGGGAAAGGCGTACCGGAGAAATGCGGCAACGCCGCAACATCACACCGTCGCATTTCTCTCACTCCGATTTAATAAGATCGCTATTCAATTTACTTCCACGCATGTAAATACCGACCTAAAAGTAAGAGTTGCCAGCAAGGTATAATGGTATTTAAATTAGTTTCATGGGGTGTAACAGAAATATTGTAAAAAATATTCCTCTGATACAGGCAGTATTACTGTTTGAACCTACAGAAGGAATTCGAGAAAACAATCGATATTTATAAAACGTTTATCTATAAAATTGCAAAATTTCCAGACATGAACTATAAATTTAATATATTTTTATTATATATTATAATGTGTTCAGCATATATTCTTACGTATAATACTAAAGAATTTTAACGTAGTTCATATTGTTCGATCTGTTTTATTTAATAACATGTCTTTTATTCTGTATAATCTGCTTATTATGAAAGATTTTTCAAGGATATCATCGGCTATATATCATCGGCGCATGGCCGCCTATTCATCGAACATGATTGGCGAGAGTACGTCACAGAATTTGTTACCACGCGGTTGCCATGGCTTTTACGCCATTCCTATTGGCTAGCATTATCCCCAACTTCACGGTCTCTTCTGAAAGGAGTAGAAATATTGATTACTATTGAAATATCCAGTGGCGGTGTCATTCTTTTGATCATTATTACTTCATTATCTTTCATTATTTTATACCGGTTATCCTAAACTTTATTCCTATATTATAATATATTTAATAGTTAAGTTGTGTTTTATCGATTTGTTATCTTGTTATAATGTTTTTCGTTCGTAGTTTTTAATTATTAGTATTAAGTTTGATCGTATATTTGAGTTTTAAAATGAATAAATTTGTTAAGGGTAAGACGCTACATAGCCAGACGAGAAATAATAGCTAATTTATAAAGGTAAGTAGAATAATAATAATATAATTATTAAAATATTAAAATTAAATATTAGCTAAAATGAAAAGCACACATTTTACCAAAATATTTTGCTAAGTTAAAATAAATATAAATAAACGTGGATGAAATTTCATTTTGTTTATTTCCTTGTGTTCATAATAGTGTTTGCGACGAAGAAGCTACAGAGAGTTCGCTTAAGTTGCCGCATAAATGTAAACTTGAGCGGATATCTCTTTATACCGGAGTTAGCGTATCGGTTATAAAAAAATTCACACAGAAGATAAAAAAAAGGCTGGAAACTAACCCCGATAAAATGTTATCCAGCCCTGGAAAGAAACGACCACGTGAGATTGCTGTTGAAAAGCTAGATGACTTTAATTTCCAAGTGGTCAGGAATTTGATAAAAATATTTTATCTCGAATTCAAAGTCGTCCCCACAATTAGAAAGCTTTTGCAAAAATTGCAGGAAGAATCAAATTTTCCTTTTGGCAGGGAAACGCTTCGAGGGTTATTAAAATCAATGGATTTTTTGGCGTAAATGCCAAAATAACAGAAAAATATTAATGGAGCGGCCCAGTATATTGCACTGGAGATATAAATATATACGCGAAATTCGGTTCTTACCTCTTTATCTGGATTCCTTCCAATAAAATTTAAATTATCTTGACTACCACCGAAATTTTCTATAGTTAGTTGCGAGTCGTCAGTCGTGGAGTTCCTTCTGCTTCTTCTACCGGCGAAACTAGTTTTTCTATGCTCGTCCCAATTGCTCGGCTTTCCTGCTGCTATTTCGCCTCGCTCGTCAGCCTTGCTGTCATTATTTTGCTTCTCTTTACTGACCTAATAAAACAGAAAAGCAAAAATTTCAAAGCAAAAATTAAGGGCAAAGTCAAATTTGCGTCTCAAAAGTGGCTCACCCCCGATAACTTTTTTATTTTTTCAGATAATAAAACGAGATTTGTTATGTTAGTATATGATATAAATTAGGATTGATTGGCGTATTCTATTGTTATTAGTCACTTTTTTTTGACCAGAAATGACATAAAACTTCTGATTTTTAAATGGCACCCTAGGTATTTTTTTACTTTATTCTATAGAAAATGACACTCTGGATAGAATGACAGACTTTTGACATTTTCGCTTAAAAAATCATATTTTAAATTTCATTCTAGAATGCCATGGTTGTGTTAAAAACACTAATTTTTAATCAAGGAGCCTTGGAAAAATAGATTTGAACGTTTAATGTTTTTCGTGTCTTGTCATGGCCTGTTAAGAGATGCTCACATTGTATTTTTAATCATATCTCAATTTTTTCAAATGGAACGATTAAGGCTCGTTAACATATTTGGAAAAAGCATTTTTTTACGAATAATTTGGTGCTACACACTTAGTATTTTGAGTCAAATTGTCGTTCTGAACCGCATATTACAATTTAGAGTCACCTTCATTCCATTTGAAAAATGATGGCATTCTATTCAGAGTGTCATTTTCTATCAAATAAAGTAAAAAAAATACTGAGGGTGCTACTTAAACCAAAAGTTGTAGTCATTTCCGGTGAAATAGGAAGTGACCGACAATAATTGAATACGTCAATCAGTCCTAATTTATGCAATATACTAACTAACCAAATCTCGTTTTTTTATCTGAAAAAATAAAACAGTTATAGGGGTGAGCCATTTTTGAAACGCACCCGGTATAAAGTCTGTTCAACGAGTCAGGAAAGATTTCGACAGATGACATCCAAAAAATGACATAAAATACAATTTGCCTCTGAATTAAATTGACAGATATAACTGTCACTGCCACGGGACAGACTATAGTGAGCTTGAATTAAATAGACGGTATATACCTTCAATCTTGCTGGCATTAAGGGTTCCTCGTTCACCACAGATCTTAAAGTTGGTATTCCTCTTCCTCTATGAACTACGAAAGATTCATCGGAACCTCTTCTAAGACTATCCTCACTAAATTCTGATGCTAAAGTTTGTTGGCTTTGTTGTAACGAACTGGATTTCTTCAGAGGTACATGGGTTGGAGTTTTCAATGCTAAACAGACAAAAATATATTAAAATTAGTATTTTGCTTTAGGTATTATTAAAAACATGCAAATGTTCGCACATCCAAAAATTAGTAATGAAATTTAGTTAAATAAATAAGTGCAAATGTAAGTCATTCGGTGTATTTGTAAAAAATAATAAAAAACACTCATGTAAAAGCACTGTTTGTGGATAGTACCCTTACAAAAAGAAAAACAAACAGAGAAATGAAGAAGAGTTTCATGCCATATGCTAAATAAATCTAAAAAGCTCGTATCCTAAGTTGTTTTTAATAAGTATTAGTAACATAACATTAGTAATAGTGATATGAAAAACTACTATGGGATATAAATTTGTTCTCTAGTAATATTACAGTAGTTTAGTATAAAGTGTATCCAACACCAAGGTTTGAAAGTGAGGAATATACAAAATATTAAAATAAATATTTTTTATTAATAAAATAAATTAATTGTATTCTATAAATTATAGAGTTAATTTGTAAAAGATAAATAACCAATAAACATAGTAAATCATAAATATAATTTAATGTATAAGAAAAAACATAGCACATATACAGGGTGTCCCAGGTTGAGCGTGCATTAAAAGTTTCTAGAGAACCACAATATCTAGATCGGAGATTTTTTGCACATCATAGTTTCACAACGAGATCTACCAATTAAAAATATTTTCAATATGGCGGCACTTCCGGAAACACAGGAAATTGACAGCAACTTTCTTATTTTATATGGGTGCCCCCATTTTTTATTATGTACTTAAATTCTCTGTAAAATTTTATGAATTTTGATATTAAACACTCTATATCTAACATTAACCGTTTTTGAGAGAAAAAAATATTTAAAATTTTTGAACGAAAAAAACTGCCTGTCAAAAATATGTGTAGAGTCTAAACGTCAAATTTATTGATTACCACAGCCACTGTGCCATAAAGAGAAAACATGTGGCTATCTATTTCAAAAATTAAATTGTTCGAATATCATATAATAATGGCCGCAGCTGTCATAGAATTGAGCGGTTAAAAAAATATCATAAATCATTTTTTTCAAATGGAAACCCACTTTTTTATTTCACTAGTGAAAAGGCTTTTCAATTCCTTACTTTTTAACTATACATGTTCCTATACCTAAAATAAATCGTTTTTGAGTTATTTAAGATTTAGTTTTAAAGCGTATGTTTTTCTTGATTTTAACCAGTAGCCCATGGCTTTAAACGTCACGTGATATAAAACAATAGATCTGGCCATGTCATATTGTGACGCTCTGTTCAAAAAACAGCATCATTTTCGAGCCAATTTTGCGCTGTTTTTTTTTTCGATCATACGGAATATTATTAATAATATCCACTATTAGATCATCACTAAAGAGCAAAAATACGAGATACACTTTTTAAATTGTTAAGTGGGCAGTATTTATACTATAGGAAATTCAAATAATTCGTTTCCTGACAGATGGAAATAAATTGTCTGGCCGTTTGACACTTAATGTCAAAGGAAGCTAGGTAAAATCAAGAAAAAAATTCGTTTTCAAACTCAATCTTAAATAACTTAAAAACGATTTATTTTAGGTATAGGAACATCTATAGTTAAAAAGTAACGAATTGAAAAACCGTTTCGTTAGTGAAATAAAAAAAGTGGGTTCCCATTTGAAAAAAATGATTTATGATAATTTTTTAATCATTTAATTCCATGACAGCTACCGCCATTATTATATGACATTTGAACAATTTAATTTTTGAAATAGATAGCCACATGTCTTCTCTTTATGTCACAGTGACTGTGGTAATCACTAAATTTGACTTTTAGGCTATACAAATTTTTTTGACAGGTAGTTTTTTTCGTTCAAAAATTTTCAAACATTCTTTTCTCAAAAACGGTTAATGTTAGATATAAAGTGTTTACATCAATATTCATAGAATTTTACAAAGAATTTAAGTATGTAATAAAAAATGGGGGCACCCATTTAAAATAAGAAAGTTGCTGTCAACTTCCGGTATTTCCGGAAGTGCCGCCATATTGAAAATATTATTAATCGATAGATCTCGTTGTAAAACAATGATGTGCAAAAAATCTCCGATCTAGATATTGTGGTTCTCTAGAAACTTCTAATGCACGCTCAGCCTGGGACACCCTGTATACAATGTCACACAAATCCACACATAAGTTTCCCCAGTTGACTTTGTGTGTGATACTGTAACTAAATTGCTAAAATCTAAACTAAATTTACTTTAAAGTTTAAAATCTCCTTAAAAATTAAAGGCCCTGCTACATAATAATTGCACAAAAGCAGATTATTTCCCCAAAAACGTTATTTACTTATTTAACTTAAATAGTTTTCTACGAAGACCGGACCCATTAACTGACTAACTTAGCTACCTAGACCTTTTTGCCGTAAATTTTGTTTAGTTTAATTAACTACGTGATCTCTCCTAGACAAATAAAATCCCCAAAATACAATTCTACTTCCAACCTCCTAATCCCAAAAAAATAAGTTTAGGTATGTAAGGTCGATATCCTAGATAATTCGACAACCCTTACCTATACAAAACGAAGGTAGCCAAAATATACACACCGATTGTAAACAAAAAAAAGTGGGTTACGACGTAACTTCGAATATACATACGTCAGTTTTAAGCTGTCAAAATACAAGTTGACGACACCACAGCTGTTTATTTACAAGCTATTGCCTTGAAATGTTTGCTTTGTTTTTAAGTTCCATCTTATCTGTTTTTTTACATCTATTTAAATATTTGAGCTTGGATGCTGTAACACTATATATTTATCAAAGTAAGGCAAACATTTTCTGCGATTGAAGGTAAGAAATGTAAAATCTGCATAATTTGTGAAATTTACAACAAAATCAAAAACATAACCTTTCACAAATTTCTATTCTGGACAGACACAGAGACTTTTATTCTGTAATATACCCTAAAAATATATTTTTACTTACTTTTTATATATCAATATTTATTAAATGAGCTTAGATGTCGCCAAGATAAAATTAGTTACCATCATTTGTTAGTACTATGTCCTACATACATATAATTATGTATAAATTTCCATCATTAGATGTCTCAATACACCTAACTGTTTTCAATGAACTAGGTAATCAATATATTGTATTTTGTTCCGGTATTCTAAATAATAATATTATCCTACACCATTAACAAGAATATACTGTTTGATAAAAAAAACCGGAGTAATAGTAGGCTTGAAAATGATGATCGTTATTTTTTACAATGAAAATTATATGAGAAATGCTATCGATCGTCATTTTCAAAGCTGCTTTTTTTTCGTATCATGCGGTATTTTAATCGGAGTTTAATAGGTTCCACTTTGCTTTTATATTACATTTTTCTGTTTATGTCAACTGAGAGTCAAGTAGTATCGTACATGTCTAAACCCTTTTTATGTTTACAATATATGTGCACATATGCCCCAGCCATTTATAATTATCAATATGTATATGCACCTAGAAAAGCCCAACAGAAAATGTTTAAGCGGGCTCCATACTATGCGTCCAAAGTTAGTTCGAATGTTTAGTTAGATTTAGTTTAACTATTGTATATTTTTGAGCTTCCCGTCAGTACCTCGCGAGTTCCCCACCTGCTAGTCGTACAACAATAGTGTTCATCAGCCGATCAGCGTAGCGAACCAGCCGAACCAATTCAACTTAACTAAACAAACAGTTAAACTAACAGTTAAGATACAACTTAACTTCAAGGTACACTTCAATAGTGCACCAATACTACCGATTTCGTGGGCGTATAATTTTGGAGCCCAACGTGGGGCCTCTTAATATTTTTGTTGAGACTGCACTTTGAAGGTTGCTTTGGTGTTAAATATTTTGACTAGTATTAAGTATTCTCCAACAAAATTTTAGTAACGTTCAATATCTCTGAAACTTTAAATACTTTTTATCGTATTTTGCCCATCTAATTTTCTTTGATATCTATTATTCTGGCTGTGGCAGTAGTTTTTAGTATTTAATATAACTCTATATTAAAAATTATCCTTTTAATTATTTGAATATGATAGGAAATCAAGAAATTCAATCAGGAAAGTATACAGAGATATATAGATGGTGATGCTGTGGATACTTATACTTACTTTTGGTAGGTATTAATATATATTTTTTTTATTAATCACTCTAAAATATTTTTAGACATTTACTCATATTCCTATACTAAACAGGACGCATATATTACAATAATACTACACAATAGTAAAACGCTTGGATGATTCCGAGCTATTCACGTATGTTAACAGGGCCTTTAAGAACGTCTAACATATTACTAGTGAACAAACTTCATTAATCACTCCATACCTTACCCATGCGGTGACTAAACTATTTGATGGTTCAGTGGTAAAACAAGGCAAAAAGACTGATTGATATTCTAAATCGTTCGAAACGCATCGTCGGTTTATTTAATACACAGTTTCTGCATTCTCGAAATATGCATCTTTTACAGAATCTCTCTGGAAAATTATTATATTTGATCTGTGGTAGATTTTCGGACACAGATCCAGTAATCTGAGGATAACTACTAACCAATTTAATTCATAATAAATAAATTAATTAAATATAAATCTTTAAGTGGATATACTGGATTACTAGTTTATAGATATACCGATTTGGTTATCGAAACTGTGCGGCCTGTATTTTAACGTGTGTGATGTAGACAGCTTAATGGAAAATAAAATGTATTAAAAAGAAATAAAAATTGGGTCCATACATTTCATTCAACAAACCGCCCAAGTAGGCGTTTACGAAAAATCTTGCATCTAGAGTTAGAACTTTATTTTTCTCTATTAGTTACTCATTTTACTACAGCCGTAATAGATTGTATTTAGCTTAGATATATTATCTTCATTTCAGTAGTATACATGAACGTTTTTAAAATAGCTTATATTTTTCAAACATTTTCTTACAAACGTAAAAAATCGGCAACACTGTATGCCGCTTTTTATTTTGTCTCTGTGTCTGTCAACAAGTCATTTATATTATTCTCCGACACACGCATTAAAATCCAGAACACATAGTTTCGATGACCAGCAAGGTATAACTAGTATATAGCACCAACTAAATGGAGGTGTAAACGAAAAAATAGGTTTGAGCAAATTTTTGTAGTTTAGCTTGCGTAAATTATCTGAGAGCCTAAACGGCCCTCTATGTAATTGTTTGGATGTAGTCTGTCGAAATCATCCTTTGTGGTTGAAGAAACCTTACTGGTTTTAGCTGTTGATTTTTAAGTCTCTTAACTTATCGTCCCATTGCTGCCAAAAGTCATTAACTTACTTTTTATCACTTCCGAGAAAAATGCGTCTAAAGATGAATTGCATTGCATAAAGATGTTATAGTTAGTAACTATTCGGCATTAAAATAAAAAATAAATAGCCAGAAATCGTAGTTAATGACTTTTGCAATCGATTTTCCGCTTCAAAACATAGTTAGTGATTGAATTTGGTTGTTCGGAAAAATGTTAGTTAGTGACTTTTGGCAGCAATAGGACGTTATGTTCTTTTTGTTGTACTTAGTTCTGCTTTTATAGGAATAATTATTAGTTTTTACGATTATATACACACAGGGTCAGTCTTAAATAAGTGCAAATATTTTAAGGGGTAGGGTATTTCGAATTTCGACTCCCAAAACGCGATGAGTTTAAAGCGAGAGAATTTGGAATTTTTTGAAAAATGTTTTGGAAATTTTTTTAGTTTTTAGTTGAAAATCATAATTTCTTGATAATATGACAACATAGATAGTAGATTAAATTTACAAGAAAGAAAACCCAGAAAAAATGCAGTGGTTCTCAAAATTTAAACTAAAAATCATTTTTTTTGTAAATGTTCAAAGTAAAATAACTCAGTTATTTTAAACTTAGAAGAGAAAATAAAAAAATATTTGCACTTATTTAAGACTCACCCTGTATGTATAGGATGTACTATAGTAAAAAACTACATGTCCATATCAATACTTCATGAGACACTGAGAGTCTACCTTTTCACAATTTTAAGTAAATTAGTATGATAAATGAACAATGTTTCGAGAATGCGAAGCCTGTATATATCTATAATTTTCACGACGGCTTTTCTTTACCTTGAAAAGCTACAGGGCTAGCGGGATCATCTAAGCCGCTGCGCAGATCCGGTATGGGCGTAACCACCGGTTGCAGCAAATTGCGTTTGTGCACGACACCGTGAGCGTTGCGCGCAGGAAAACCTTCTGCGCATACACCAAAATTAATATACTCTTACCTAATTTACTGTTGTCTTTAATAATAATTATTTATAATAAAGTGTCTAAATGGTCTATAATTATTTTTATAAAATTAAAGATCTTTCCATTATGAGGTGTCATTTTTAATTTTATTAAACATATACTTAATAATGTGATAGTAACAATGTGATAGTAATAACCTGATAGTTCCAAGAACAAGTAAGTATTGTGTCATGCAAGAAGAAGTTCTGCATCATATTCTATTTTATGAACAAGAACACAAATATTTATCTTCGGCACCGCAATATTTAGTTGCTTATTGGTATACACTTTACCAATGACAGTAGTTCCACAGATCGTATGACCAAAATTAAAAAAATTACATGTCACAAACATGTCGGTGGCAAAAATTTGGTGGCTTAAGATTTAGTGGCAAAATAATATTGAACAATTTTTTTTAATTCCTTAGTTCAGTCATTGGAGATCAAAAAAAGAGGCCTGCTTGAAAAAAAGTCCGGAAGTTTTGAAACTTTGCAGGTTTATAGGTTTTGGGGTCCCAAACTAAAATCCATAAAATGCACATTTCCAGACTTGCCGCCGCGGCCGCCATCTTGCCAAGGTGGCACCCAAAATCGGTATTTTGTAAATATCTCGAAAACTATGCGTTTTTAGCAAAAATTTAAAGAGAGCAAAATTAAAGAGAATAAAATTTCCTATAAAAAAAGGTTATATGAAAATTTTCGCTAGTCAACCCTTTAGGCACAAAATCCCTGTAAATTTTACAATTTTGCGTAAAGTATGATATACATACTATAGTCGATTTTCCGAAATCAAATGTCGATTAGTGTTCCCTAAAACTAGTTTTAGTTTAGTTTCTTCAATTTTGTCATGAAACAGTGGCTTATCATTAATTCGCTCATTGATTTATGAGCTCATTAACTTCCGGACTTTTTTCCAAGCAAAAATCCCCAATGACTGAACTATTAGTTGTTATATTGTTCTTTAACAAAAAATATTAATGTTAATATTAATACATTGGTTCTGGTTACTATAATAGAAGCCAATATTCCCAATATCTCTTATTTTTTGGATAAACGAATTACAATTTTGAAGTGTTCTATTAATTATGTATTTTCAGCCCTTTTAACTTAGAATTTATTCACATAGTAGCTATTAAGGTATTTATAAGGTAAGCCCTTGGGCTACTTAAGGTTGGATAGCCCTGAACTGGATATTAATCGATTAAGGAATTAAATTACAATGCAGACCATTTTTTTAATTTTCTAAAATTAACAAGTTCAGTTCTGAGGAGCTATAACTTTTTTTTCAAAATAAAAACCTTGTCAAAAGAAAGGAATAAATATTTATCGAGCGACAAATATAAAGATGTAAAAATTATAATGATAACATAAACTCTGTATTAATTTTTAAGAGAAAGTAATAAAAAATAATGGATATAATCAATTTTGTTTCTCTGTCTCATCATAGAAGGCTGTTTGTCCTTTTATTACTTTGTTCATAGCTCTAATCAGACAAATTGAGGTCAATTCTAGAAAATTACAGCAATTACACAGTTTCATTTGTGATGAATTCATAATACTCGTAATATTCCATACAGACAATTTTTTTTCATTATATATAAAATCACAAATAAAAAATTACTTCTATTCTCTTTATAAATTAATTGGTGTTGGGTATATTCATAAAATATCTATCTTAACTAAAATGGTATGGTGAAGTTCAAAGTAATTTCTCATAGTAGAATTTTTATAAAAATGATTTTTCTAATAAGGCTTGTTCAGTTTCATATGGTAAGGTACTACATAAGTTTCATTACTATTTATAGATATTTGTGCCGGATGAAAACATGAGTAAAAACATCCTCTGTTAGTGCAGAATCAGACAGATAATAAGAAATACAAAGAGAAATATACAGCACGTGTCAAAATATTGTCGTTTGTGGCATGTCATACTATATTTTCTTTTCGTTACGGAGCACGGTGAACAAATTCCACATTGCCATTTTTCAATAACTAAATAACCATATAAAATAACAAACTACTAAATTTTATATATAGATAAATTTAGATACCAATCATTTGATACCTGAAAATACTGAGAAAAAAAATGCCGCCGGGAGGCACGTATAGCCGCCCATACTAAAATATGTTAATAAAAGTTGGTAGACAGTTTTAGTTTCAAAGTAAAGGAATTTTTCCAATTTTGGTCCGCGGTTATTTCCTCTATCCGCCACTTGGGGTCGCGTCCGATGGGAGTTTGGAGTTCTCCACACAGATTTTCTCAAAAACGGACTACGGGAACACATATCTCAAAAACTGCGACTCTGAAGGAGGGTCCACATTTAGTAACATGTTATATAACATTGCTATTTAACAAACTACATGTAACATGTTAAAAAACCGGGAGTCGTCCACATTATAGTTTTCGTAGTCATGAATCGTTTTGGCGACAAAGAGGTTCAGCTCGCAGCAGCGGCGTGCGTAATTATTTTTGAACAAAGAGAAAGAAAGTCGAGAAAAAAAGCGGTTTTGAGTCCGCCATTGCCTACCAGCAAGATCTAGATACAGTTGAACTCAAATAGCTTATCTTTTCAATATTTGCCTCGGCTGTTTCTCGTGGTGTGTTTCTGTCTTTTAAAAACATTAATAACTTAAAAGCAAAAGCAAACCATTTTGAATTATCCACTTCATCTAAACCATGCAGTACCTGATTTGCATATATTTTGTACCCTCTGGAACTGGCCTATTAGATAACGCATTTTTTTCTCAACTTTTTCTCTTTCCAAATACATACTATGAAATGAAGATCCCTGTCATTTTATATGGGGAATGTCATCGATCGTCATGTCCAAGCCAACTGGACGGGAGGCCGACGCGAAGGGACGCAGTTTTTTTTCGATCATACGGTATTATTGACCAGTAAATAAACAAACCAATATCAGCTCACCACACTAAGATTCTGTCGCGCACGTCACTGAAAATATGAGCGGCTAAACTAGAAATTTAGCAAGTGTGGACGCGTTGTTTCATGTTACAATAGCAATGTTGCACAACATCTTTTGATCTTTACCGACTACAAATGGATAACATCTAGCAAGTTATATAGCATCGAAATTTGCTAAATATAACTAAAAAATATGTAACATGTTATATAACTTTGCTATATAGCAGTGTTATATAGCAAGTGTGGACCGTCCTTGACTGATTTTGATGTTATTACAAATTTTGTTGCAAATATTATTCCTAATCTTAAATTGAAAACCGCGTTTCGCTAGCTACTGTAATTTTGGAGTAACGATTTTTTAAAATGTTTAACCCCCTCCAATACCCCACCCCCACCAAAAACTAATGGCCAGATTCTCGGGTGCCACAGTATTTTTGTGCCAAATTTAGAACTGATTTATCACTATACCCATGGAATATTGACATTTCAGATTTTTTTATAACACCATAAATGTACAAAATGTACAGGTGGTAAATATTGCAAACCCACTGGCATACAAAAAAAATCGTTGTAAAAGAGTATACCAATTAAATATACCACCATTATTTCCGACCAAAAACATAAAAAATTAGTTAATTACATGCTATTAAATTGTTTTAATTAATAAAGTATTCTAAATAAATGTGGATTTGACTCAGAAATCAATATAATAATAAGTTATGAAAATGAAAGTCTCTGTTTTTACAAATAAGCATCCGTCAAAAAATTAAATAAAATTTATAAGGTGTTACTTTTTAACACACTGTCTAATACACATGCAACAAAATTCAGTTTTTTAGTATTTGGAGCAATTATTATTAATCAACGTAAACAGTCAATTATAGAATACTGGGATATATTACTTGGTCCTCTTTAACAAAAAAATATTTAAACAGTTTTTTTTATTTTTTAATTAAATAATCGAACTTTATTGACAATATTAGTATCTTCACCCCTTGAAAATTTGTTACATCTTTAAAAATTTGTTACATCTTTAAAAATAATTTAAAATGTCAATATTCCATGGATAGGATGATGTCTAAATTATAAGAAAATGCATTTTCTACAAAAACTTGAAGAGATGGGTAAAAATGGTATAATACAATTTGATAGACAATTACATTGTGTATCTGATTCACGAAAAATATATAGGGTGTTTCATTTAAATTAAAGAAGTTATTGCCGTTTAAAGCTAGTAATTATTTAACATAAATTTTTGGACACTGTATAATTATCATTATATATATATATATATATATATATATATATATATATATATATATATATATATATATATATATATATATATATATATATATATATATATATATATATATTCTCAGATCAATTCTTTTGTAGATGATCATTCCAATACAGGAAAAAATTAACCACCCTTTCTAAACCATGAACCACACATATTTTTCTAAACAAAATGTGACATCGAATTTGACAATGACAAAATCATATTTTTGCTAGTATTTTAATTGTAGCTTTCTCTGGACCGTATTATAAATGTTTAGTAATCTCACGGTAGATTTTTGCAAATAACAATTAGATGCTTATTCCAAATAAAACGAAATTCTAGACGAAAGCACAACTTTGACGCCTCTTTAAAAAGTCTAATACAATTTTTGCAAAAAATCATCTGGGGAGATAACATATGACCTTTTCAAAATTTACATGGAATTTCCTATGTCCCATTTTCTGATGCACCACACGGTGTACAATTAATAATTTAATGCATACTGATTTAAAATATTAAACTAATTCGATCAATAACAATCTTAAACTTATTCAAGCGAATAAGCTTAAATCCTTGCAACACTGTATTTGATACATACAGATATTGAGTCTCAAAAGTGGCGCACCCCTATAACTTTTTTCTTTTTTCAGATAAAAAAACGCGATTTGGTATGTTAATATATGACATAAATTAGGATTGATTGACGTATTTAATTGTGTTTGGTCACTTCCTGTTTTACCAGAAATAACTACAACTTTTG